CCCACCCCCCTCCTAATTTGCGTCAAAGATACCATTTCAATTTTACACTACCAAAATGTCAGTCATATGTGAACCGATTTATTTGCAAACATTATAACTTTTCAAAAATGAACCGGGATAATTTTAAAAAAGGAATTTTTTTTTTCAAAACATTCTGATGACGTCAACGAATAAAATTGAGATTAATTGTCAAAGAAAAGAAAGGAGATAAAAACCGACTATAGTACTCTAATGGATTAGAAAGATTATCAGAAGCAACAGTATTATTTTTTTTTTTTGCTTTTTGTAATCTATGTGTGTGTGTGTATGTCTTTTGATGTTTTTTGATGCTTTGATATCGGTATTGATGTTTGGATTTGTAAAAGTTGAAAAAAAAAGGCTTTAAAGTATTTGAATAAACAAAAATTTCGTTAAAAATTTTATTTATTTTATTTTTTTTTATTTTTTATTATTATTTTTTTTTTCTTTTTAGTTTTCAATAAGAACCTTACATTTCAAAAAAAATATTTTAATTTATTTAAATGTAATTTGTTGCATAAATTTTAAAGTTTTTATTGAACTATACAATAGTTGTCGTTTTTGGCACACAATGATTGTTTAGTCATTTGGTTAGCAAAAAAAAAACAATTAGCTAACAGAAATATTTGATTAGAATCAAAAAAATAAACTTAAATAATGCATAAATTTTTGACAGTATTTTTTTTTTGCCAATCGTTTACCAATTGTCAAATATTGGAAACTTAGTTTTAGAGCAGTGTAAACTTTTTAACTGTTATTTAGTTTGGTTTTCTGTTTCAATTTCACAATTTCTTATTACGCTGTTTTTTTTTTTTAAGATCGATCTGTTATGAAGTACTTTTTTTTATGCAATAACACCAAACAGTAACAGCAACAATTTTATCGTTTATCCATTTCTCATTCAACAGCAACAACAACGATCAATGAGGTTTATCAATATTATTTTTGGATTTCTGCTATTGTACATTGGTTCTGTGGATACAGAAAAATGGCATTGTGGAAGTGATCAATTTACCAAATTTATATTTTCAAAAGCATCATTTCTGTTGGACCGCGCATCACAGGGTTTGTTTTGTGCAAAAACAAATATATATTTATATATATATATATCTGTTGCATTGAATGTTAAATCATATAACTCTTTTTAAAATTTTTCTTCTTTTTCCT